TAGTAACTGTGAGAGGGACCTTGGAGTCCTAGTAGACAATCACCTAAATATGATCCAGCAGTGTGCTGCAGCTGCCAAAAAGGCCAACACAGTGCTAGGCTGCATTAACAGAGAGATAGAATCAAGATCACGTGAAGTATTAATATAACTCTTCAATGCCTTGTTAAGGCCACACTTGGAATACTGCATCCAGTTTTGGTCACCACAATGTAAAAAAGATGTTGAGACTCTAGAAAGAGTACAGAGAAGAGCAACAAAGATGATTAGGGGACTGGAAGCTAAAACATATAACAACGGTTGCTAGAATTGGGTATGTCTAGTTTAATGAAGAGAAGGACAAGGGGGGACATGATAGCAGTATTCCAATATCTCAGGGGCTGCCATAAAGAAGAGGGAATTAAGCTATTTTCCAAAGCACCTGAAGGCAGGACAAGAAGCAACGGGTGGAAACTAATCAATGAGAGAAGCAACCTAGAACTAAGGAGAAACTTCCTGACAGTGAGAACAATTAATCAGTGGAACAGCCTGCCTCCAGAAGCAGTAAATGCTCCAACACTGGAAGTTTTTAAGAAGAGACTGGACAGCCATTTGTTTGAAATGGTGTAGGGTTTCCTGCCTGAGCAGGGGGTTGGACTAGATGACCTCCAAGGTCCCTTCCAACTTTACTACTATTACTACTATTACTATATGTGTGTGTGTGTGTGTGTGTGTGTGTGTGTGTTTTCTGAGATTTTCGTGGGTGTTTGTATGTAGGTCTTTGGTTATTCGGGTTTTCTCCTGTGTCAAATTGGAAATGTCTTGGCAACATTTCGACGAAGTCTCATTCGTCATCTTCAGGCTGGTGTTTTCGGCGTGCACGCATTGAAGAACATAAGAACTCAGTCAAAAAAGAGGAACCAACTTCTTCCCTGGTCCAACACCTTAAAATCACAGGACAGGAAATTGACTTTAAAAATACCAGAACTATCGCCAAAACTGAACACTTTAATAACAGAATAATCAGAGAAGCCATCGAGATAGAAAAACACCCACACAGCATGAACAAACAAGATGATACCTCCCGCCTACCAGCCATTTGGAAACCGGCCCTTATTGACAAATGAGTCCCTAACACAAAGAATGACATCAGATCCACACTCACGAAAGCCACACAGGATGTCACCACCACACGTCCATGCAAAAAGCAAACCCAAACCCACACCGATGATGAGGCACAACCACAAACCAGAAGCCAGACCACTGCTGCATCATTAGCCACTTTAAACCCCTCCAATCCATACATGAAGCAAACTGACACCTACCATGAAGATGAGGCATGACCACGAACGCAAAGCCAAACAATAGCAATGCTCACCATCTCACCTCCCCGTGCAACTCAGATTAACCTGAGCACAACAAAGCCCCCACCCAAACAGAACACTCCTCCTACCAATCAGAGCACAGCCAATCCCCCATCCAATCAGAGCACAGCCAAGCTCCTAACCAATCAGAACAAACCTCCATCCAATCAGAACACAGCTAAGCTCTCATCCAATCAGTTCATACCCCCATTGGCAGTTAAAAGGAAGAAACAGCTATGATCACACATTGCTCCTAGAAGCACAAAGCCGAAGACACCAGCCTGAAGATGACGAATGAGACTTCGTCGAAACGTCGCCAAGACATTTCCAATTTGACGTGGGAGAAAACCCGAATAACCAAAGACACACATATATATATATATATATATTAAAAATAACGCTAAAAATCGAGGAATGATTCCTGGGTACATATTTCAATAGATAAAAAGACAATCACCAGGAAGTAAAATAACAAAGTTTTAATAAATAACCAAGCTTTCGATGGCTCAAAATCTGCCATCATCGTCAGGGTGTAAACCAGTCAATGGGGAAACTTGCTTATAAATGCAGCCGCACCTGCACTCGGCTCATGGATCTCATGACGGGCCCCAGCTGGCCGATCCTTGCCTCACTTACAACATCAGATGATTCATCCTTACATCCTTTGCTTACATTTATGTCACCACCCACCTCCCTGTTCCCTTGTGTCCTCAAATTGGGGGGGGAGCGTTCTGTATTTCCCCAGGTTGGACTATCCTTCCCATTACTGGATCGATTCTCCTTCCTATAATCTTCAGGATACTTCCTTCCTCCACCCTTTCGGCATGCGCCGTAACCATTTATACTTTCGTTATCACAATATTCCACCCTGGGGATCCTACATCGGTTCCCATGTTCCAACACATTAATTCCTATCATCCTTCCAGCATTTCCACAATCCCTGTAATTAATCTCATCCATCCTCTTGTTTCCCCCCACGGTTCCCAATGTATCACACAATTGAGTCCGGGATCCATGTTGTTCCATTGCAACAGATGTTTTATTAAAACTTTGTTGTTTTACTTCCTGGTGATCGTCTTTTTATCTATCGAAATATATATATATAATATATACACACACACACACATACACAATATTAATAGCCATATTCAGGTCCATATATCAGATCCAATTGGCAAAAGAAAGCTTAGGACTTTTACTGTAGTTGGAAACATGCGGAAGAGGCCTTCATCCTGCAGTGGATAGACAATGGCTAAAATGACGGTAATGTGATGTCTATCTCTATATAATCTCTCTCTATTTCTAAATAATCTTATATATGTATATAATTTTATTAATCTAAGGATCTAAAGTATCTGTATGGTCCATGTGTCTGTAACAATCCTAAGCAATGGAGTTAAACCCAAGAAGATTCTCAGCAAATAAAGGAACATAACACACACACAAACACACTTACCCATACACTAACCTCATGAGGAGTATTACAAAATATATAATGTAATGAAGGCTCCAACTTTCTTACACGGCCTGATTTAAGAAGGACTCAAAGGAACAAGAAAAAGATAAGCTTTCTCAGTAACAATATTGTTTTTCTCCTATTTTGTGGTTATGCCATAAAATTTAAAGCAATCTGTAAAAACAATATGCTGAGATTTATGGTGTAATGACAGGGTTTTACAGGAGAAATGGGAATTTTCAAGAGAATATTTGGCTTCACAGATACTGTAGCTAGAAATATGTCTGTTCCTTCTTTCTTGAGAAATGTCATTTTCAGAAAATTAGCTCTCAAATCTTTTGAACTAAAAGTCAAACACCTCATCTATGGCAGAACATTCTGGAACTCATTAATAGCCATTGTAAAATTATATACTGTTGCACAGCAAAAAAACCTTCAGAAAAAGGGCCTGGGAACTTTCAGGTGAATTTGTAATGTGAATTTCAGCAAGCAGAGGCATAGAAATCCTTCCTTGGTTGCCCATCTAATACCTTATTTGTAGTCCTGGTTTTAAGACCCTATTATAATGTAGCTATAAGGTTAGTCTATGCATGCTGCTCCCAAAAGCAACAAGGTACTTCGATGCAGATGCTTTTAGACTAAACTGCAGTACAGTCAGTGAACTCTGCCGACAGATATGTGATTAAATTACTTTCTGAATCAAATGGCTTGAGGAGAAAAGTGGGTATCACCCAAGCCTTAGCAGCAAATGGAGTGCTGCCATTTACGTAAATGGCTACACGAACCATATTTTACAGTTCACATGACATAAGCAGCCCAGTCATCTTCTTCTCAAATCAATTTGCATAGATATTCCAAACTGCACAGCTTGATTGGGAACCTTGGAAACTGTAAGAAGATTTTTCTATCTTCATATATAGTGAGTTAATTAACAATTAACATGGATTATTTGAAATGCTTCTACCCATTTTTTCCACCTGGCCTAAGTTGTGTTTATACAAAAAGATAGTTTGCCTGCTATCTCATTATTGTCTACGTCTGCTTTCTTTTTCATTTTCCCCTCCAACCTCCTCATAGTCTCTCTTGCTGTTGACAATTGGTAAAGTCTTCACTTATTTCAGGAATTATCAAACTTTGTGGTGAACAGACTCCACAAATGAAGGCAAATGAACTGACTCCCTACAGTGATAAAATAACTTTCCCTATTTCTTAGGGAAAGTTATTTTATCATTCACTTCACTTAGAAATAAGCAAAAAAATAGCCGGATAAAGCATGCTATTTCTTTGTAATAATTAAATTCTAATCTATATATCAAATAAAACAAAGATTGAACTATAAAAATTTACAAAATCAAGCCTTTTAGATGAAAAATAAACTTCAAGTTTAAAATTATATTAAATAAGATGAGCTGGCTTAGTTTTGTATTAGTCCTGGAAAGTGAGTTTTAGTTTGGAGACAGCGTTTCTTATTCATTTAGAATTTATGCTGGTTCTTTATAGTGGCAATTTCAGAAAATCCTGAATTTACTGCCAGCTGTCTGAGCACTACAGGGACAAGTATAGCCGGTGATCCAGCTTTGCATATGTAAACCATTGGGCTTTTACCTTTATTTGGCTTGGACAAGCTGGCTGCTGGCTTATCAAGATACACTGGGAACATGTTTTGATCCAGCTTTGAGTGTGGAAGCCCAGCCAGAATTTGTTCCAGACCTCTGCAAAGGTGGAAACTATAAAATTGTGTTTTCTCTGTGTCTTTCCTCTTTCTTCTAATTGAAGAAAACTCTTCTAACTCTTCCAAATTTCTTCTTTCTCCTAAATGAGGAAGCCTTGTTCAAACTTGAATCTTTCTCAGATTTGCTTGTGATTCCCTGTGGTTGTGACCGAGAGCTTGAGAATTCTGTCTTAAAATAGGGTTGACTTTTGCAAGCTGTTGAAATAAAAAAAAATCATTTTATTGTAAAGTACAAGACATAATTGTGCTAACCAAAATTTGTTGGATGTTTTAGGAATCTATTTTTTTTTTCAGAAGAAAGGGCTACCCTCAGTCATACTTCTGTTCAGACTTTGTGACTTTGACAAATGACAAAACACAGATGTATAGTATGAACCTGTTAAATCTCAGTATTGTTCAGAAAGCCTTGTGCTCTTCAATGATGCTATTCATAAATGAAGTATTTTCAAAGCTCACGATTCTCTAATTTTAGGAATATACAATAGATGTATTTTTCCGACAAAGCTGGAGAGATGAAAGGCTGAAATTCAAAGGACCGATGCAAGTACTTCGACTGAATAATTTAATGGCTAGCAAAATATGGACACCAGATACATTTTTCCACAATGGAAAGAAATCAGTAGCTCACAACATGACTATGCCTAACAAACTTTTGCGAATTACAGAAGATGGGACACTGCTTTACACAATGAGGTAGGAGGCAGGGATGTGGTATTTTATTTATGAAAAAAACCCTACATACTTTTCAGGATAGGTGGGGTTTTTTTGTTTATAAATGTTCTTTTGATTTAATGAAAGTTATACGGTAGATTTGGATTGGATAGTAAAATATGTACATCTTTAAAGGAATCAATGGAATGCAGCTGTTTTCTTCTAATTTGTATCATCTTTTCATTTCCTCCCAGAGCTTACTACATTCACTGGGATAGCAACAACACCATATTTTATTTTAACAAATTTGGAGATTAGACTCCTGTTACAATTCAATCTTTGTGTAATGTAAGCAATTATGCATTATCAACCTATTATTTGCAGTTGGAAGGTGCAACTTTTCACCATACTGATTTCAAGGGGTGAAATGATATATTTTGTGCTCCTTTTATAATCAAGCATTGGATAGAACAAGAGTAGGAGACATTTCTGGTCTTCTTGGCCAATATAAAACAAGGTACCTACTGTGGAATAGAAAAAAGGAATATCTTGTATTGTGTATCTGTGAGACTCAGAAATTAGATGAAGTTTGGTTTAAGAAGGTTAACATAATGGCTGTATAAAAATATGTTCTCTATGCTCAAATGGTGAACATTGGGGACACATAAAATAACTCTTGCATAAATCTCTTACATATTATGCATCATAGAGAAAGACTTTTGAATTACACATTGCAATTACCTGTTTCATAAATAGGAGAGGATGGGGATACTGGAATAAGTATCTGATATTTAGGGCAAAAAGTAACAAAAACTTTGAGGTTTCTTTTAATGAATTCTTGTCTAGAACAACAGCAGCAGCAGCAGCAACAACAACAACAAAACCCCTGGGCTTTTAAACCAACTGAATCAAATTCTCTGGTTAATCTTGCTGTACCTAATTATGTCATACAATTTCTTAACCAAATGCAGTAAAATAGGTACCTTCTATTACCATTTTCATCAAAGCCACTTTATATTCTAAATCTGTTGTAATGCTTTTGGTCTGTTTGCAGACTTACAGTGAGAGCAGAATGCCCAATGCATTTAGAAGACTTTCCCATGGACGCACACGCTTGCCCATTGAAATTTGGAAGCTGTAAGTTGACTTTGATAATTATTTTCTAGCTTCTCCCTTCTGTGGGCCATTACAGCTATGATACTTTCCAGCTATTGAAATTTTTTTTAGATAAAGAAGTTCTACATGGGTAAACATTATACAATATTTAACATGGACATGTTGTAGAGGACACTGTGATAGTACACATACAAATCCCTCAGTTCTGCTTATCCATGGCTACATCTTATTACAGAATATCTTTAGTGACTTTATTAATGCATACAGAAAATATAGGATTTACTTCCAAGATTGATTGACTGTCAATCTGTACGCTATCTCAATTGTTTTTTGTCATTCTGAACCACACACAGGAAATAGGGATGAACTATTTTACATAGCAACAATGTGTATGTGTGTGGGGGGGGAAGCTTTGTCCAGATTGACCAGGGATATTAAAGAAACTTTGGAAATGATTTTTTTTAACCAACTAGATGCTTACACAAAATCTGAGGTGATTTACGAATGGACCCGTGATCCTGCATACTCTGTTGAAGTTGCTGAAGATGGCTCTCGACTGAATCAATATGATCTCATGGGACAAACAGTGGATTCCGGAATTGTGCAATCCAGCACAGGTGGGTAAAATCCCAGTGCTGCTACATGTCTATTGCTTGTACCACAGCACAGTTTATCTCAAAAATATTATGTCTTAGATGAGAATGGCATTCTTTTAGAGGCCCATCTTTTCTTTCATTTTTTTTAAAAAAGCAAACAATTCCTAATTTGCTCTTTAAATATCTGCATTCTAAAAATTATGTCTGTCACACTGAACGTATTTTATTTAAATGTATCTTAGTTTTGCAGTGCCCCTGAAAAACAAAACAAAACAAACAATTGGTAGTACTCAAATAATGTTCATCCCAGGTTTGGATCTGATTAAACCCAGCCAACAAACAGGAGTTCATCACATCATTACATCTTGCTCAGCTTGATATCCTCGGTGAACAGTAAAACTCAACACATGTTGCTTATAGCTACACAGATCCTGAATTTTTCAAGGCAATCAATCAGTTTATTATTTTCTTGTAACTCAAAAAAGAAAGAGTCTGAAAAGAACAACACAGTCGGACTGGGGTAATAGGCAAGATGTTGCTCAGACTGAATATTCAGCAATTCAAATTTAACCAATGGCCGCTCCTTCCAAAAAACCATAAGCTTCTCAAGGAGGTAGATGTCTTAATCCTTTGAAGGTACAAAAATATATGCAGGCTTTTGAGATATTGGCATAGTATGGACATGGACATGGACCTTGACACATGGTAATGTCTGGAATATAGATCTATATGAATATGTAACAAACTGATTCTCTGAAGCCTCTTTAGTAATAACATAAATTTTAAAAATGTTACATTCTATAACACTTTTTTTGTTTCTATTCTAGAAAGGAATATTATTCTATTTTACTATAATAAAACTGTATAGCCACTATAGTAAGTCCATACCCTCCCTACATGTACATAACATTTTCTTCCATCAGTCATGAATGAAGAGGCAGCCAAAGATTTCACAGTTACATAGACCTGCAATCTACATCTTTTAAAAAATGAACAAAAAAAATCCTGCAAAGAAACAGAAATTAAAAACTAGTTTGCAGAATCACCCCTCACACACACACACCAAAAAAGATAATCTTAATAGAATGATCCTTGTTAGCATTCCAGCCCTATTCACAGCATTTTATACATATTGTCAGATGTGAGGCAGCTCAGGCAGGGGGGAAATTGCAAAGGTATCAAAACAAAATTAACATCTTAGCCTGAAAGACATTAATCACGGTTATTTATGGTTAATGACAAGTTCTGCATTAAGTTGGCACTGATCAGTAACACAAAGCATTAAGTGAAACCACTAGAAGCACTGTTATCAGAAAAGGAACAATTTCAATAATTAAATTTAAAATATGGTTATGGTGTTGAATTGTGGTAGTGATAGTAGTGGTAATAATAGTAAAAAATAAAGGAAAAATACGGTAAAAATAAAACAGGAAAGAAAATTGGTTAAAAGGAAAACTATGTCTATAGACTACTGATACATAATTGAAATTTAAGTAGTGCAGTGGATTTCAGAAAATCTAAGATTCTGAATTGATACCTTAGCTCTAGTTTAGTTGGTTTGCAGAATACAGCAGTCTAAAAGGCTTCCAATATTTTATAGATATTATGGTTACAATTAAATGATTTTGTGAATGGACTGCAAACAACAACAAAAATACAATAGTTTGTGTACTGTAATTGTATTATTCATGGTTCTCTCGTATATTGTTGAACTGAAGCAATTTGTAGAACTAACCTCACAAATTTATTGAAAATTACTTAAATACTTAGGTAGTTGATGTTTTATAAAGTCAGCTAACAAATTTTATATAGTGAAAACAAAATTGTAAGAAGGAAGTCTGGATCATATTTCTCAGAAAGTTTACAAAATGAAAACTGGAACACTTCAACGGGATTTGCAGTGAAAGCTGTACAAAATACTATCCATCAAATGTCACTGAAATGAATGGAAACTGAGCAGGAATATATTTATTTAGATGGACATTTTCCCATTTTGCTGGTAAGACCTCTTTTGTGATGAGACATTGGCAGTACAGTTTGTTGAAATTGTGGTAAAATGGCCATGTTGCACTTTCTGTATTATATGGATTTAGAAGTAATGGTTCCTAAAGCAGGATATAAGAACCTGCTTGTAGTTTGCTCACCTGAAGACCTAGCGGTCTTTATTTCAGAAAGGCTCTTACCTAACACTGTGTCCATGAGTTGACAAAAATGTATGGATGGGGAATTGGAATGAGTTTAGGATTATGACAATGATTACAATATGGCACTAGCTGGGTAACAAAATGTCCACAAACAAATAATCAAGTTCAGAGAGTACCATGAATTCCTCTTTAGGATTATAAGCAAATGTTAGCAAACAGATTCTATTAGGCTAACTTTCCAAGCCAGCAAATATTTAACAAAACTTAAAGTTCCATCAGTATATTTGCATTAGTCCAACACTGAAATAATTAAGATTTTGGACTAGGCTGAGGGAGATCCATATCCAGGTTTTTTCTCAATACAGATGACTTTGAGCAATGTATTACATCTCGGCCTAGCCTACTTCACAAGACTGTGGCTGTGGGCATAAAAAGAGAGGAGACCATCGTATTCATTGCTAAGTTCACAAAGAAGGATGGGCTAAACCACCACCATCATCATTGCCAGCATCAAAAGAAGGGTGATGATAACATTCTTTATCTTCAACCAAGACTTGGATAGAAGTGGATTGAAATTAGATTTTTCAAATCCCCAGGACTGTTTCATATGTCAGTTCTAATTTTGGAAGAACACTTTTATTTGATTTCAAGCCTTCTTGCTTCTCCTTTTCAGCTAACATTTGTTTTATTTCTATTTTGTCAGTGCTAAATGTAATGCCATATTATTAGTACCCTAAGGAATTTGATTTTTTTCAAGATATTAAATTTTAAACTAATAGTCATAGAAGATAAAAGTAAAAATGAGAAGCTTGTTTAATTTCTTGAAAACACTCATTTCACAAAAGCCATTATATAGTGAACAGCCACCACCAATGTTTAACTGAACACTTTTTCTTGATTTATAAAACAAACAAACAAAAAACAAGAAATCTAAAAGCAGCACAGTGAGCAGAAAGAGAATAGGATCAAAAGTAGCTGTAGATAAATTGCATCTCATTAAATGAAGCCAGCCCATTCATCCTTACTGCAGATTGTTCTATGCCAAGCTCTGTAAGCATGCAATTATGAAACTAATACATTAGGTACTCTGATCATCATTAGAGCTGCACAAAACCATTCAAACAGGAGCTCTGAAAAGAAAGTAAGCTAATCCTTTAAAACCATTGCTTGAAGCATCGGAGTCATAGTCTGTTATAGGCCATTCCAGCTACTTTATGGCCTTTTCTTGACCAAAACAAAAGGGATGTCAATTGAACTGATATCCAAGAAATGCAACATCAACATGCATGGCCAGGAATGATGCTTCCACACTTCAAGGAGCCAGCTCAGATGATGGCTTAGTACAATCATTTTGTATAAGCTTAGTGATCATAACACCATGATCTTAATTTTTGCGTTCCTTCTGGATAGTCCAAAAAGAATCTTATTTTTATGTTATAGGTCATCATATCACAAGTATACTTTCAGGCCTACATATAACAACAGGAACTTTGATTGAATTTCCAGGTACCTCCAACAATAGTTACTAGATTGACATTTTAAGTGAAAGGAGAATGATCATATGAACAGTATAATTCTTTAATTAGCTGCAAATGATGTGTGAATCCAAGTGTTGGATTTCACCCACACAATTTCATAGTGTAGTTCTCAACATATCACTCGAGAGCCAAGTATTCCTTTAATTCACAAGAGGCTCATCATCCCTGCTGCTACAAGGAAGATGACCTGTGTTCATTCTGATGACTAGCAAGTTGACAAGGAATCCATGATACAGACTGAAAAAAAGAATAGATGATTGGGAAAGTATTCTTTACCTCTAAATGTTATAATGGGCAAATGCAGTGAGTAGCAAACGGTACTACTGAGGTCAAATAAATCACATGCAGAAGAAAGGAGAGAAAACCCTGGGTCAAAATCCATTGAACTGATGGAAAATATTTGTTCAGCTATCATTATTATTGTTATTTATTAAATTTATTTGCCACTCATCTTGCCACAGGTGACTATGTTATGTATGCAACTAAAGATATTTTAGAATCAAAGGTAAGGAGTTGTGTGAGTGCCAAGAAGAGGGGCTCTTTCTTTTTTTTTGTAAAATACTAACTGCTTCCTTCTAAAATACAAAACTAGAATATGGAACCATTCTTGCTGTTTTGGTTAGTGCTTTTGGAAATAACAATTTAAAGCCACAAAGGTACACTGTATTTCTGATGGAAGACTTCCAAGGAATTCTCCCTCACCTTTCCCTTATTTATATCCTAAGAAATTTCCTTGGCTTTTTTTCCCTCTTATCCAGGGGAATACGTTGTGATGACTACTCATTTCCATCTGAAGAGAAAAATTGGGTATTTTGTCATTCAAACATACCTGCCATGCATAATGACAGTAATTTTATCCCAGGTATCTTTCTGGCTTAACAGAGAATCAGTTCCAGCAAGAACTGTGTTTGGTGAGTGTCTTACATTATGCAAATATGCTTGAATTGTTCAAAAGCATTAATGTATGTAGCATTAATACTCTTTGATTAAATTATCACACTTGAGGTGTCCATGCAAGCAGTATTTTGTTTCAGTGAGGCATTCTGTATCATATCCATCAACTGCAAACCTAGTGTCAGGTGGAGATCAGGTAGAATACACAAAGTGTGAACCCGTGCTTTCTGGAAAAACCCATTGACATTTCACACAGGCTTTATTTCAATCCCAAAGTTTAACTTTCTTATTACCAAAATTGCTTCTATGCCTATCTGGATTTAATTTTGGCTTGCCTGAATGATTCTTGGTAAAATCTGTGTGACAACTTCATTAGCAGTAAGATTCACAAAAGGCAATTAAACCAGTCTATGGCCAGCTTTAGTCTACGAATTGCCAAATTCATACTCAATGAGTACCTAATTACAGAGATAGTTCATTTACATTTGAGATAAGTCCTGGCCGCCAAACTTGAGTGTGACATGATCCTATCTATTGTTTGCATTATTATCTTATCTACCACAACCCTTGGTTTCCTAAAAGTGTTACATTAAGACTTTGAGTGTCAAAATTCACACCTCACTAATTTAGACAGAGTTCATTCAATTCTTCTCTTCCTCAGCTCTCTGTTTTGTGGCATTTGATTCATTGGCCTTTCTATTTGAATTGTCTTCCATTTTGGAATTGAGGTGGAGCTGAATTTTTTCCCTTTAAGTTACCCAATAAGAATGCTTCAAATATTTTATGTAAGCACATGAAACTAGAGAGATAGAAAGTAGAGTTTGATTAAATAGCTTACAATTGTGAGAGTGGTTGGACACCACAATTATATAACTAAATTAAAATAATTTAAAATCCTTCCTCTGAGTAGAGTCTTAAGCTTGGGAGTAGTGGTGGTAGGGATCTTTATGTAGTCTGAGCCATTTCAGAAGAGAACTGATGGAAAATGGAAAAATCAGATTATTTTCTATAAATAATGCATTTGAATATGGGTAGTGCAAGATATTTTTGATTGCTGTAGGTTTTGGCTAACAATTGACACAGTGAAAATATACTCTAGCAGATATTTAATACATGAGATGTCTGCAGTTGTCAAGGTAACCGGTGGTTAGTGATTTAAGGCAACAGTACAAAGATGCAGACTTTTTACTCTTGGTAAAAGCTCAGTGGCTAATTAAAAGAAACCTGTTCAACAGTAGATGATGAACAGTGCTATAGAACATGCAAAATATATTGTCACAGTGGTATCTTTCTTCATTTCTAACTCAATCAACATTAATAGCTAGCTTTTGAATATGAGGTGAATAGTGGCAAAAGCCAGCTGGAGAATTCAAGATAGGTTTCAGAAATGAGCTAGTGAACAGAAAGTGCCTTCCATTTCTCTTTAAGATTATTATGCCAGAGCAAAGCACATCATAACTTTAATTCATCTCAAACAATTGGTTTTCTGTCAAACCAAACCCATCTAAGAGGTATAAACAAAATTACACACCATCAGTTATAAATAAGTAGTAAAGTAAAGCCTTAATACTTTCCCAAATGTTGAATACAATATGATCACTTGTCACTGGTAGACTATCTCACTCTGTCCAATGAATTGCCCGATCTCCCATTTCACTCACTTTTATTCCCTTCTGGGTGCAATTTTAATTCACCCCCCCTCCCATTATTGGTTTTCAGACAGAATGGAAAACATGGCATAAAAAGATAATTGTAGGTTAGTTTAAGATGAAAACAAGCAACTTGCTCCTCGGTTTGAGCCACAACTACCACAGTCCCTTGATATACACCTTATTATCTAGGACCAGTGATAGTCTGTCTCTATTCTTAAATTCTAAATCTTCAAGTCTACATACATACAGGAGATATCATCAAATGAAAAATTAGAATCTATTGTTTTCTATTAGTGAATGGAATCTGAATTATCTCAATTTCCCCAGGCTTATTAAAATAGGGTTTTGGAACCGGAAAGATCTGTTTTACCATTGATTGGAATATTTGATTGAATTTACAGTATATCTTGGGTTCCTTCTGACATAATCATTCAGTTACTTTTAGCAGGCTCAGGAAAACAAAAAGAGCCAGTTTGGTTAAGATTGGTTAAGGTAGTGGTTCTTAACCTGGGCGATATCGCCCACCAGGGGGCGATTTCATTTTTCAGGGGGGCAAAGGAACAAAAAGGGGGCGATATGGGGGCGATGGAGCGAAAAGTTTTGGGGACACTTTTGAGACTTTTTCGTACAGTGAATCGCTGTATATCTGTCATACAAAAACATCAGATCACTTGCTATTAGTGGATTGAATTGTGTTTTCAAATGTTCTTCCAGCTAGCTTCAGTACAGAACGCTGTACATATGTGAATACACATCGGCTTCGTTTTCAAATTTTTGTTGTGCTCTGTAAAACATTTTGTGTGTCTCTTTGTATTGTACTTTTTTAGTGTGCACTCCAGTTCGATATTATATTTTCTTTGTGTCTTTTTAATCCTTTTTATAGTGTGCATGACTATATATACTTTCTTCGAATCTTAATTTAGTTTCAGAGTTTTCATCTTGCAATTCTTAGTTCCTGCATTGCGGTTTGTTCTTATGCCCTTTTAATATTTCTTTTTGCATCTTAAATTTCACTTGTAATTCAATCATTAAATGTTACTGTTTTTCTTTTCGGGCATTTCACTTTCTTGCAATTGAATTTTGTTTTCAGTGTCTTGAATAAATAAGATAATAATGAAATACATGTATCACGAAGTTTGGGAATAAAGTGATGGGTAGCACCAAAATTTTTCGTACAGTTGAGATATGGGAAAAAGACTGGAAATAAATTATTTGCATCAATATGTCCTGATGACAATTTTAAAGAAAACAAAAAAAGTGTTTGCATAAATTGAAGAATTATTTCCTATGAGAGGTTATGTTGGGGGGGGGAGATTACAACTTCCTCATTGGCTCAAGGGGGCGATTCGTTCAAAAAGGTTAAGAACCACTGGATTAAGGCATCAGGCTAGAAACTAGAAAACCATGAGTACTATGCCTGCCTTGGGCCAATCATTTTATTTTGGCCCTAAGAAGGAAGCAATGACAAACCACTTCTGAAAAAGCTTGTCAAGAAAATGCAGAGATCTGCAAAGACAAGAAAAAAAACTTTCTTGAAGCAAAGGTAGCAACAAAATGGAAAATTTGGAAATATTCTTGTTTTTTTTCAGGTGTGACAACTGTGCTAACAATGACCACCTTGAGCATTAGCGCACGGAATTCTCTTCCCAAGGTAGCTTATGCTACAGCTATGGATTGGTTCATAGCTGTGTGCTATGCATTTGTCTTCTCGGCTCTGATTGAATTTGCCACAGTGAACTACTTTACAAAGAGAGGTTATGCATGGGATGGCAAGAGTGTAGTTCCCGAAAAGGTAATAAGGCAGTTCTTCGTATATTTTACTTGTATTTGAAATGATTGCTTGTTGCTATTACTTCATATGCTATGGACCATATGTAGAGAGTAAAGAAGATGACCTTGACAGAAATAGGAAAAAAAAAAAAAAACACCTGTTGCTTGGGCAAAAGAGACCAAAATATTTTCTAAATCTAGGATGCTCCAATAACATTCAGAAGCAGCTCAGGTACTTCCTAATTCCATGAACTATAAGAATGAAGCGGTGCAGCATAATCAGATTTTCAAAATGCTGTTACTATAGCAATCTCAATAAAAATAGTTTTAATCTTCCTATGGAGTGTATCTCATGGTCTGATGTACCTAGTGGGTTTCACAAGCACAAACCTGCTAAACAAACTATTATGCAATGCTACATGATTATATTAATAGTAACCTATTGAAAAAAAGTCTTCAGGTTTGCAATCTGTTGTATACAAGTTCATTTAAAAGTAAATCTGTTGAGGTTTCAAACTATTGGCTTAGATATTTGTCTGTACTGAATTACTTTCAATTGTATTGTCACAAACACAAGGGAAGAAATATCAATGACTTTCAAAATAATCCAAATGATAAAATTTCCCTTTAGATAGTAAGAAGTAAGGAATTTATTAATGCATTTGTTCATCATATTTGAATCTATATAGAAATTTCATTGGTTTTGGCTGCTTTCCAGATCGCTGTTAAGGACAAAATCACACATGCATGCTATTTACTCAGAAATTATCAGGCAACTACTGACATATGTGAAACAGCTATCACTCATTAGAATCCTCGAAAAGAATTTTCATACCACCCACTTATTGCCATCTAAAAATAAAACTTTTCAATAGAGAAAATTGGGACATTCGGCAGCAAGTTGTTGAATGATGATTCATTATGCCATAGGACATGAAGTGATGTACATGCATGTGTGATTCAGATTCTTGAGTCTGAAAAAAAAAAAAGGAATTGCAGAGAGGAATTCTGAGAGCAAGGGCAAGAAATGAAATAAGCGATCCCTGACTATTTCACACACAGCAGTGCCTGAATCTGACAATGCTTGACAGAACCTAGAGAATAGGAGGTCTGACCTCCCTACCACATCCTCCTCAGAAGAAGGCTTTGGGAGTGAGACTATTCTTTGGCTTCTAAAATGATCCCAACACAAGTGTGATGGCATCTGTCAATCATTCATGGTAGGCCAAGTCAAGAAATAGGCACAAGCAGGGATTGCAGGAAAGATCTTCATTGTAGCAAGATAGAATGACAGAATCTTTAAAGCCTATCCAATTTTTTTTGTCCTTTCTGACACTAAACAAAATCAAGGTAGGGTCATTTGGGTTTTCTTCCTTATACTCTCCTCTTTCTCAGGATGGAATAATCTATTCTTAGTCTCTCTACACCCTCCTCCATGGAGTGCTCATTCCTTCTCAACGTTTACTCTACATTCTTTCACAGAGTTTGTCAGCACAGCCTATGACAATGAAAATGTCTCTTTCATGATAGCACCAGTGACAAGCACTGGTTTCTCAACAGAAAATATGGAATATTCCTGATTCTGTTTTCTCCTTGTCTATTTGACAACGTGAAAAAGAGGGGAAAAAAACCTCTGATTAAACATGGCTATCTGAAGGACATCTGAGCTGAACCAAGTATTCACGTTCCAGAGCAGTAATATTTTTAAATGGGTGAAATGACATGTCGTTTAAAATCTGTGTTCTTTATTCCTAGCCAAAGAAAGTGAAGGATCCTCTCATTATGAAAAACAACTCCTTTACAGCACCAGTAACAGCAACCAGCTTTACCCCAAATATTGCAAGAGACCCTGGACTAGCTACCATTGCTAAAAGTGCAACGATAGAGCCCAAAGAAGGGAAAGCTGAAACAAAGCCACCTGAACCCAAGAAAACTTTTAACAGTGTTAGCAAAATTGATCGACTATCAAGAATAGCATTTCCACTGCTCTTTGGGATTTTTAATTTAGTGTACTGGGCTACTTACTTAAATAGAGAGCCCCAGCTTAAGCCCCAAAGGCCTCCATACTAGCCCCATTATCCATTAGAGTTGTCCATCTGTTTTGCACTGGGAATTGCTTTTTGGTTCTAAACACACAGCAGTTCTCATTTGCTTCATTGCCTCTGTCTTAAAGAAATTGAGATGTCCTTATTTTAGAAAGCAAAAGTATATTATATATATAAATATACATATATATAATAGAAAAGATATTAACTCTGTATTCTAGGGCTGTAATGATGTGATGTAGACACCAGATTCTGAACCGTGACTTTGAACAAGGGAGGGAAATGTAAAAGAAATCCAAAATCATTTGTCGATGGAAGTTCCCAGAAGGGATGTTGTACATGTCAGAGCAGAAATATTTTTATGCAAAATGATAAAAGGTTAAACCTGTCTTTATATATGTTCATGTTGCACATAAGGTATTCTAGTTTCCATTTTTGGAGTGCTGCTTATTTGAATTCTTTTATAGGATATGCATCTATCCAAAGTGCTGGATTCCAGAAAATATAGTATTTTTCTTAGATTTCCTATTTGCTGAATTTCCCAAAACATCAATTTTAAAGTAAATTAATGTTCATATTTACATACAAAACAGTCTATTTCCTAATGGTAAATATTCTCACAGAATAGCACATTGATTCATATAATGAATGCTTTAATATGCTCTCTCACTTCAGTCTTATTTTAAACATCAAATGGTCACTTGACTTAATAATATCAACCAATGGCACATTCAGTGCAGATCTAAATCTCTTTGTTTCTGTTAGAGAAAAACAATACAGGGTCGTTTCTTCTTTTTGTGCTTCTGTATTTGAATTTAAGGCTTTTGTTGGTTGGTTGGTTGGTTGCTTTAGAAGGAAAACAATATTTAACAATCTCTAAGTACATTGGATGTATTATTTTATAAAATTATCCAGGGATTTTGGGGGCCATATTTTCAAGTCAACAAGTAGAGAGATTGCACCGGAAAATTTTAGGTTGCAACATGTGGCAAAAAGAAAGACAAAATGTATTATTTCAACAACATGTGTAAATATACTACATGAGACTGTACATTTTTTTACTTTTTTATGTTCATATTATGCTGTGTGGGGGTTAGTTCTTCAAACTCTTAATAGGTTGCATTTTTAAAAGAAACATTTAGAACCTGCACTTCTTTTTTTTTTAAAGAAAAGTCAGTGGCATTTGAAAGAAAAGGGACAAAAAGACAAGAAAGAGAGCTTGGAATAGGATATATTCCATTTGTAAAGCGATTATCTGTACAATAGCTTGCAATCTGAAATTATCATCTAGTTATACTATTAGGCTAATGACTGGTATGCTCAGGTAATGCGTGAATACAGAAATATGGAATTATATTTGGTAGGAAAATGGTAAAATATTTAAGACAAACGTCATCTGTATATTATTGCTATATTTGCTGAAACATAACTGTTAACAATAAGTGATGTAATATATGTAGCATTAAATACACAAACGAATGTACAGGAAAATACATTTTACTGAGTAAAACTTATTACATTTCATTTTTACTGTAGCAATATATTTGTAGGAACAATATGTAAGGGCTTTAAATACAAAATGTCCATTTTTCAAGTTATTGGTATTCCCAAGATAATTCTACCCAGTTTTATTTCTGCTGAAAAATTATTTTAAAGGGGGGAAAAATCAAATTACCAAGATGGATATTAAAAAAAAAATAGAGTTGAAACATGGATTTGGGGAGGTGTTAATGTAAGGGTTCAGAATTCATAACACATGGTAGTAAATGCATATTAAAAACAAGTTGTATGGACCTTCAGTCAAAATAGCTAACACAATAGTGAGATCGACATCTATACATGTTACAGGCAATGTTTTATATACTCTTTCTCAATAAATCAAAAGGTTGCTGCATATTTAGTATCTACAAATGAAATAGTTTACTTTTTCTTTCGAAAAGGTGACTTTTAAAAAAAACACACTCTAATGCTTCATTGTCTACCATTTAGTCCTGTCTAAACTTGATGAGCTAATCCGACTGAAGCTTACTAAAGAGGATGTGTTATCTTCTGGTATTATGTGTAGATATATGTATAGAAAAACAATCAAAATAAAATATTAATTTCACTTCAGTATTTGTTTATCTTGTTATTTTGGTGTTTAATCTAGTGTGTTCATAAAGGGCATTTGACCTTCAGAGTTATCCATTTGGCTCCTTTCAGCCTGCATTTGGCACATTAGAGTTGAATATTACTTAAGTAGTCTGCTTTTTTATTTTTTATTTTGCTGTGCGATGATGCATTATTTCACCTCTTAGTTTGTTAGTCTCTGTGAACAGTATCCTGTATAAATCTGATTGCACAGTTATCAAAGACAAGGTACTCTCTATGTAGCTTTTTTTACAATGCTTTGCTAAACCATGTAATAATAATTATTTTCCTTGAAAATAATGATACACTCTTATAGAGGTCAGTTTTTGTTTACTCCTGGAATAATTTAAAACAAGATGACATTGAATGTTTATTGCACTTCAGTGCAGCAATGTGGCAATAAGACCTAAATCTATAACAGAGATTGTTTATGGCAGATGCATGTAATGCTTTACAGAGTTTAGCAAAATCTCATTATTTTATGTTGAACTGTAATTCTATTATACTAATAAAGTTTAAAACAAAAACTACGAGTAACACAAGTGAATGTTTTACTTGGCTTATTTTTGTTTATAAATGACCATTGCTGGCCAATGTCCCTTTTGCTATGTTACATACAAAAGGTTGAATGGTTTAGAATATATGTCAGAGAAAATTTGACAAGAAATGTGAGAAGAAAAAAAAAAAAACAGCTCCTGCTGTTTGTACATATTGTTTGAAGCATTGTTCTATTTTTTTTGTACAATGTAGTCTTTGTTTGATGTGTTTCTTTTGATTTATGACCCATGCTTTATGGCTTGAGATGGACCATTAAATGCATAGTAAACCCAAGAAGAGAACAGCCCAAATGAAAGCATAAAGCACTGGTGAGTGTTCCTTCAGATGCTTTGATTCCAGCCTTTCAAATCCAATCCAATAACAATGAATGACGTGAAGACATTTTCTTATCTACTACATAACATTCTCATAAGGTCTAATAAAAATAAAAGCAGAAGCAGAAATGGAAAGCTTATCATAAATTGCCTTATATTTCATCTTTTTCTCTCACATAGAACTCTTCCACAATAGTAACTGCAAATGTACTTTTTCTGGTCCTTTTTATCAAATTATGTCTGGTTAATCCAAAACATGCACTAAACTATGAACCTACATAGCTACAAGCAGCCATCTGTGTATCTGTCTAGATGAAATGCAAACCACAATAAAATAAGCTACAACTTTGATCCAGTCATAAAGTAGATAACTGATATATTATCATTTTTTACACTTTAAAGGTGTTTTAAAAGAACAACACTTCCAAGGTCCATCTAAGTCAGGGGTGTCAAACTCACAATATCACATGATGTGTTGCAACATATGATGACTTTTTTTCCATTGCAGATAATGGGGTGAGCATGGTTTCGGCATGACGCATCTGGCCTGTGGGCTGGCAGTTTGACACCCCTGATCTAAGGGATACTAATTTGATTCCTGTTTTTTTCTTTTTTTAAAATATATAAATGTTACTAAAAGTTTTAAAGAGAACATAAAAACTAACACAAACTAATGCAGAATAAACAGAAAAGAGAAAGAAAAGGAAAAAAACCAAACACGAAAAGATAAAAGCTTTTGATTTTATTTGCAGTAAATGCAGATATAATTACAAGTTAATTATATATTCACAGAAAAGCTCAGTTTCTTCTATTAATCAATTTTTTGATCATCAAAACCTTAAGTCATAAATGCTGTTTCATAAATGCAAAAACAAAGTCTGTAAGGGGCTTCCAGTCAATCATATACATATATTTTATCTTCCCCCCCCCCAATCAAATAAATCAGTTTAGCCATCTCTGCAAATTCCATCTAATCATTCCTCTATTGTTGAACTTTTCCACTTTTGAACATATATTTCCATAGTTGTTATATAAAAAACCAAATTTCCATGGCTTTTTTCTAGCTGTTCTTTAATCCCAAAATGAAAGTCTCTGGTTTCAATTGTATATTTGTATATAGATTTTTGGGGGCTTTTTTATAGATCCACACTACATCATAAAATGTATCTTGCCTCTTTTTATTCATTTTCAAATAAGCCATATTGACATTTATAGAAAAAAATTCACCCCAGTTTTTCCGACAACACACCTTTATTTCCCTTCTTTTCAGGGGTACAGCCATCATTGCTTCTTCCCTAATGCTGATTGATTTTAAAATAATCCTCAAAAATGCTTATAAACCTAAAATATGACTGTGGAAGGCTACATTTTTGTCACTAACAAATATCAAATTAATGCGATAAAAGAGAATGGCATAAGTGTTCTTAAGATTTCCTGTGGAGATAAGAAATATTACCCTAGGATTGTCTTGGCACATTCAGTTGCAAATGAGAATTCTTCCATTCAAATGAAATGGTCAAATACAAGCTTCTAAAAGATGTCAGAATCTTGAGGTATTGTCTGTATTTTTGTCTTGGTGCAGGTCTATCTAAATAGACAGACTATCTTCACTGATGCTGATAAACTCATTTGATTGAACTGCTGTGGAAGTTTTGAAACATCAGACTAGGTTTTGTGTTCATAACATAGTTATTGATTACAGACTTTTCAACGGAGAGCTAAATTCTCTTTACTTTTTCCCCTTTTATAATGTTGTCTAGTAGGCATGAAATGGTGCTGTTTACTGAACACCCTATGAAACCAACGATGGATTCTAACCCATCAAAGATCAAGTGTCTTTGGAGGTTCTCAGTCATCCAGATCACAGTTGTCCCAAAGATGCTTTTTCACAAGACAACTGGACTTTCTTGTGAAGAAAAGAAAAGTCTAGTTACCTCATGAAAAAGCATCTTTGGGATGATCAAAGATCAAGAGGAACTATGATCCAGGATTACACAAAGCAGACAAAAATAGATTTTGCTTTGTCCTTTGACAAAATGTATAAAATAGTCTTTGCCAAAAATCAAGAAAATGCAGCAGAACTTAATATGTTAGAGATACTGAAGAAATTCATTTAAATAGCTTATCCTACTTTATCAGGTTTAGTCTTGGCCAGAAACATTAGCTTATGAAATGGGTTCCTCCTGTATGTGGGTATATCAAAGAAGATAAATTTTCATATGACAAAGAAACTAACAAAAAAAAAAGGGTGTGTTGGTGTGATCTCTCCAGTCAAAGTACCTGGTTTCAAAATTGGATGACAGATACATTGGCTGGGTCTCAAAGGGAGGCTTACATACTGCCAGGAAAACCAATCCAAAATGCATCATCCAGACTCCTGAATAAATCCTGATACAGAAATTAATGGGAAAAGTGAAGAGTTATTAAAAAAAAAACCTATCAACTTTAACTGTGTAGTGCTACCCCTGAATGAACCTCTGATGATTAGGTCCTTCTGTCGCTCTTCTCAGATGACCGAGACTGACACACATTGTGAAATTTGTGGGGCTTTAATTAAGAGATGATAAATGAAGAAATACAGGATCAGGAATGCAGTCTTTAGTAAACTCCACCTCTGGATTAGGATTGTCACCTCACCTCAACAGTGTTTTTTTGTTTTTGTTTTTTGTTTGCCTCAGAGCAACACTGTCTCTGCCTTTGCAGGTGTCCAGATCTCTCCCTCTCTCGATCCTTTTTTTTCCTGCCTTTTTCCAGTCTCTCCTCCAGGGGCTGCCTCTTCCTTTTCCCCCTCTGAGCTGCTGGGCTTAATAGTTCTGTTCCCCTGCACTTTCATTCAAATTTCCTCCCCTCAAGACACTCTCTTTCTTTCTCTCTCTCTAACTTTCCTCAGATTCATTCTTGCATTCATTGATGTGTCTCTTTCTGACCTTTTTCTTTAAATACTAGTACATAACAGGTTTGCCTTGTCACTCTTCAACTTTTCTGAATTGCCAATGAACCATTATGAATGAAGCATTTCCTTTCTTTTTTCCTAGCCTTACAAACAAATTCTTCAGATGAGAACAGCACCCCCTCCTTCAGAATTATTTAGATTATGGTCTTGTAAACAATTTATCTCAAAATTAACATGCTTGGTAACTTCTAGGCAATGAATTTAGAGTGAAGGTAATTAGTATTTCTGCTTGTCTGATCAAGTTTAGCTGCTCATACTGATTGAAATATCTTTTATTTGGTATGTTTTACCTTCCTCTAACTCTGATTATTTGTTGCATGACACTTTGGACACTGTGCAGCTTTTTTTTTTCATATAAATCTGAAAGTTTTTCCCCCTCCCCAAACATTGTAAATGTTTAATTATGAAGGCACTCACTACCAAACAAACAAAGGCCCTCAGCTATCTTATGCAACATCCTATTCCCCTGCTTCTGTAGGTCTTGATTTGGGCACCCCCCCAAAAAAAAAGGCAATTTCCCAAAAGTTAAGAACATTTTCATCTTCAGGGACTAAAGGGAGAATTCTAATCCTTCCATATTTTTTAGGAGCTGAAATTTTCCTGATCCAATTACCTGCTTTCTTTTGTAATATTTCCTTTAACTATATAGAAAATTTAGCTATTTTCTCTCCCTTTGTCCTACACTGGCTGGAGCCATAACTCTGTTGCAGATTGAAGTGTATTTATTTGTTTGTTTGTTTGTTTGTTTACCCAGGCATCCAACCTGGGCAAAAATAAATAATTAAAAATAAAACATTAATTTGTTTTTAATTGTTGAAGCACATCCTTATTCTTCTCCACATTCCGTCCTTTCCTCTTTGCATCACATTGTTTATTTTGCTTAATTGTTATAACTGGTTTCCCTGTACAGTGCCAGGAACCACCAGTAGCAACTGCCATCACATTTTCTGTCTTTGCCTTTACATAATAGAGAACTTGGGCTCCAAAATCCAAAACCTACAGAAGTGACGCTCTATCAGTCCTTGGTACCAAATAGTAGGTGGAAGGGCATCAGTGGTTGTAATACCGAGCAATGGAAGTCAGAAGTAAATGGGGTTGCATTGAAATTCTTTGGGGGAAGTTAACTAAATGGCTCTAATGCTGTCTCTCAATGTTTG